TGAAGGAATGGGGTGTTAGCTGAAGCGGAAAGTCGGGAATGTTACTTTTCATAAGAAGAGTTGATTCCAGTGGAAGGGGACGTGGATGGGGGTAAGGCAGTGGTGGATTGCTGGAGAGTGTCCTTGTGTAGGTGAGAGGAGGAGACGACTGCCCAGCATGTGTTTTGATTTCATAAGGGAAGGCAGGGCATATGAGCACAGATGCTGGAGGAGGGTAGGTGTGATGGTGGGATTTTGAAGTTCTCTTTTGATTACTTACATTTTCCCATTGACATGAAGGGTTTACTAATAGTGCCTGTCACATTGGATGGCTTTGAAAATTAAATGTTTTTTTCCTCCAAAGTACTTACAGTAGTTGCTGGCACGTAACGTTGATAGTTTTTAGTCTGAAAGTAAGCTCCTACTCCTTTTAAAATGGTATTTTTAAGATAATTGTTTTTTAATTGCACACAAATCTGCAAATAAGCATATAGCTCAGCAATGATCACAAAGTGAACACACCTATGTATCCAGCTCAAGAAATAGAACATTAATAGCATCTGGTTGGTTTTTGGTTTGTTTTGCTTTTTTTGCCCTTAAATGTCTTTAGCTCAAAAAGTAGAAAGCTAGTCATCCTTGTGTTGGGATCCAGGATATTTTTGAAAAATGTCCTTGCCTGTGAAATCCCAAAGTCTGGTAATATGTTTAACACCAAGGACTCTAATAAACCTTACTTGGCTATTCTGCTGGAGGAAAGAAAAAAATCTATTCCCTAATGAACTGTAAGTTTCCAGAGTCATGAGAAAATTTCTAAATTATGACGTGACACCAATTCCTCAAGCATTCTTCAAATCATTTGCCTAAATGAGTGTAATATGAAAACCAATAATATTTTTAAAGAATTTAAAAATTTTGAAGATAAAATGCCTCTTGTCCTCTTTAGTTAACCATACATTTACTGAGATTAGTCATTTAGCCTTTTATTTTTCTTGCCTTTTTTCCAAAGAAAGCAGTTCTTTTCCCTCCAATCTAATTCCTTATAATGTTATTAGGAAGGTGATGGTATGACCACTTCCTAAGACAATGTGTTATTGATCACTTATTCTGTGTTGATAGTGATTGTCTGAATTGTTTATTTCTCTTTCTAGGATTTAAACCACAAAACAAAATTAAAGAATATTTAGGTAGTGTACTTTTCTTAGGGAAGTTCTTATCTTAGGCTTTTGCCTAATTATTTTGTACTAGAGGCCTGGTGCACGAATTCATGCATGGGTGGGGTCCCTTGGCCTGGCCGGCGATTGGGGCCAATGAGGCTGATGGAGCCAATCAGGGCCAGCTGGCCTTGGGGGGAGTTAGAGGGGGGAGAGACTGCGGGAGGTTGGCCGGCAATCCGTGCTGGGCCGGCTGGAGGGAGGGACCACGGGAAGTTGGCCGGTCACAGGAGGTTGGCTGTGGGAGTGCACTGACCACCAGGGGGCAGCTCCTGTGTTGTCTGCCCCCTGGTGTCCAGTGCATCGTCATAGCGACCAGTCGTCCGGTCATCACAGTCACTTAGGCTTTTATATATATAGATGGTTTCTTGCACACAACCTCTAATACACACAAACACACACAGGTGCAGGCACACACACTCCCCTCTATAGTTATGGTAATTGTATATTAGCTGAAAATTAGTGTTTGGAAAAGACTAATTTTAAACTCTTTTTAAACTGAAGGCACTTTTGTCTGCAGGCAGCACTCTGTACGTTTTACTTGTGATCTCCCTCATTTTAGTATTTAGTTTTCTGGGCAGTCTGCCTAGTTGGATTTTATTTTATTTACTGTTTGCAGTGTCCTGATTGTTAAGAGTAGCCATTTCATGGTGTTGAGAGAAAGCTCTTTACCTCTAGCAGTGCTTGCTTTTGTGCTGCTTAATGATTGGTTTAATGAGATCTCCCAGAACAGCAGTTCCCCACCCCTGGGGGAACCTATGACTCCTGTTCTCATTTATAAGCAAATTAGGAAGAAAACACATAGATGTTTTTAGAAGTTAACTTTATTAAATGAAGATAGTATATAAAATACATTCATAGTGACTAGATATAAAGGACCAAATTATGTCTTATATCTGCAGCATACATTCTTGGTTTGTATAAAAGTAACTTTAAAATTCCAGTTTCCTTAAATAGTTCTGCACAAAACACATACACACGCATATATATATACACATATAGTTACTACCACTGTCAGTCAAAGACGCGCTCCTCCTTTAATCAGCTCAAAGGAGCTGGCAAATATGTTTCATGTTTGACATTCTTCCAGGCTGGGAAGTAAGGCACAGCTAAAAGGCCTAAGTAACAGTTTCCAGGATTAGGACAGATATATTGCGTGGGCTCAAATAAGGTGTGGGCATCATGTCTTAAACGAGACCTACACTTGCATATGGTTTGTCCCCTCCCGCCTGTGCAGTTCCACATACGTGATCTCACAAATCCTAAAAGAGGTGCTGGTTCTTTCCTTGCCACTGCCAACCATTTTTGCCATAAGTGACAAATGATTTAATACCAGCATCAGTTAATTAGTGTTTCAGTTTTCAGTGCTGTTTTAATGAACTCGCCTGTGGCAAGCACCATGCAACTACCCCACGACATGTTGCTACAAGCTCCTGTTTTCCTGTCTGTGTTGGGACTCCAGATGGGAACCTTTTTGGATGGACTCACATAGGCTACAAACCTGAGTCTTTCAAAAAACGGAACTGACACCAATAATAGATTGTTCCTTTTGGTGAGGTGGTATTACTAAGGTCTCAATGATTAAGAATGAGATCATTAAAATCAGCACATAATACAGATAGCTAAGGTTTTCCGTGACCTTCACTATTTGCTGGGTCCTTATCTAATTGGAGAAAACTAGAGAATGGATTGAGGTCTTCTTTTACCTTCCCTGTGTTTACCTTCCTCTTGGTTACCTGGTTTACACTATTGCCAGTTGTCCCTGGTGATTTCGTTCCGGTGAAGAAGAGGAAGAACAAAGCTTTCCCCGTCCCGGCTGATTTTGTTGGGCCTTGGCTTGGTGGAGAGGCCGGACTCCCTGCTCTGCTGGCCGGAGGCCCCTCCTGCAGAGCCACGTGGGCGCTCCCACTGGCTCACTGGGGATGTGCCCAGTCCCCATCTCTCCATACAAAGAACCTTGAAACAAGACTGTGACACGGGAAGGATGCTGCTATTACCTGTGTTCCGGCTTCTACAGTTCAGTTGCATGCATCAAGGGAACCGCATCTTCTCTGCTGCCTGCCCAGCTCTGACAGGCTCCAAACATTCTAAATACAGAGCATCAGGCGGAGCCCGCCGCAGACCCGGCCCTCCACCCTGGGGAGTGGGCACCCTGCGCACCTGTTCCCTTTTCCATCATCCTCAGGCCAAGGCAAGGCGAAAGCAGATGAAAGAGGCTTTTCTCCTGTGGATGGCGGATTAATGTCCTGAGTCCCAATTCCAGAAATACTTTACTATCACCTTTTTCTCAAGGAGCATAAAGTGCTTAATAAACCTTGGTTAATACTCTAACCCGCCTTCCCAGGAGACAGACTGGGAAGTGGGATCCCTATCACACAGCCTCCGGGCCGCCTGTTGCAGTGAGGTGGTTTGGTTGGCACAGAGAGGGCTTTCACTCTGCCTCATCTTCCTTATTCCTTCTGCCCTCATTCTCCTCAGCTTCCTTTTATAACTAACTGTATAAAATAGGCAAATGCAAAACATTGAGTTAAGTGTCTTGACTATATATTAACACTCAAAATAGAATCTGATTTTTTTAAATGGGGCTTTAAGCCCAACAGGTAACCCTCACAGACCAGCCGTTCCAGTTAGCTTACTAAGAACAATATGCTACATGCCCTGAACTAATATTCCAGCTTAGCTCAGGTAAGTGTGCAGTGTACTTGCTAGAGGGGCCGGCAGTGTGGGCTCAATGAGCAACAGCCTCAGTGACAGAAATAAAAAATGTGTCATATATGGGAATGGACAGAGAACCAGTCCTGTAGCTAATGTTTTAAAATATGCTTTGTTGTTCCAAAAAATGTTTGTCCTTTTCTTGCCTCCCAGAGTCCAGAAAAAGTCCCCTCATCCCTCTATTCTCTTGGCTCCCTGGCGGGGTTCTCAAATGGAGTGGGTTAGGTAGGGTTTCGGAACCTCTTCAGCGTCCTTGTTGGTAGCCCTCTTCCACTCCTTCCATGTGGCCCAGCTCAAATTCTCCCTTCTTGTGCTCTGTCCTGTTTTCTCTTTTCTTCTTTTCTCCCTTTTTCCTTTTCCTCCTCACAGCCATGTCTGCTGGAGGCCCCGGGCTTGGGTAGGCCAGCTCGGGCTGCCATCCCTGGGTGCATGCTGCGTCTCCTGAATTGTCCAGGCCTGAGGCCTGGGGGCAAGGAGCAGGAAGTCTTTGGACCTGAAAGAATTTCTCTAACACACTGAATGAGGGTTTGGCCTTCACTTGTCACTCTTACTCTATTTATCTGGGGGTTACATTCTGGTTAGTCAAAAGAAAAAAGCACTGTTAAAAACCACAGGAGCATCTAGCCCCTGCGGAGAGGCAGAGGTGTACACTTCTATGTGCATAATACTGGCAGAAGCTCGTTTTCTGGGGTATACATCTGCATGTGGTTCTAGAAACCAGGCCGTCACGCTTAGACAGGTGGGGTGGAATACAAGACCACGGAGTTGTAGTCTGGGGGAGGAGAGCAGCACGAGACCTTCCTTTCCAGCTCGGAGTTGTCGTAGGTGAACCTGCGCTGGCCTCTGTTGACGTGCCCACAGTCAGGATGGCAGAACTGAGGCCTGGTGAGGTCAGAAAGCCCCGACTCCTTACTCTTACTGGTTACTCTCAAACTAAAGAAAAAAGAAAAACATCAAATACACAAATTTAGTTTCTTGAAATCACGCTACTCTAAAAACTCTTTATTGTTGCAGGTATTTACAGATTGACCCCTTCTAGCCCGCCCCCGCCCCACCCTAAACTATATTTTTATTGATTTCAGAGAGGAAGGAAGAGGCAGAGAGAGAGAGAAACATTAATGATGAGAGAGAATCATTGATCGGGTGCCTCCTGCACGTCCCCCACTGGGGATCGGGCCCCCAACCTGGGCATGTGCCCTGACTGGGAATCCAACTGTGACCTCCTGGTTCATAGGTCGATGCTCAACCACTGAGCCACACCATCTGGGCTACTCTTTCTTTTTATTTAAAGAGTTTTTAAAAATTGTTTTTAAATTGATTATTGAGAGAGAGAGAGAAGGGGGGAGGGAGGGAGAAGAAGGGAAAGAGGAGGAGGTATCAATTTGTTGTTCCACTTATTTATGCATTTATTGGTTGCTTCTTATATGTGCCCTGACTGGGAATTGAACCATGACCTCCTGGTTCATAGGTCAATGCTCAACCACTAAGCCAAAATGTGTGGGCCCACTCTTTCATAACTGTCCTAGCATTGATGTTGACTCCCACCTCATTCTCTGGTCAGACTCTGTTCTGGAGCTCACACTGCCTCGCTACTACCAACTTCTTGTCTCTGGGCAGAAGGATGTGTTCCACTGACCGGGGGTTGGACTATGTGATGAGGTAATGTAATTCCATAATTCAAGGAGGAAAGTAACTCCCAAGACTTGGGGATAGCTCTTCTACACTTGAATCAGTTAGCTACCATGGTAGGCTGAAAAATGTTCCCCAAAATATTGATGCCAAATCCTTGGGGTCTGTGAATAGCACCTTATATGGCAAAAGATGTGATTAAGCTGAAGCTCTTCAGAGGATGAGCTTATCCTGAATTATATACATACTTCCCTCTCTCCATTCCTCTTTCTCTCTCTCAAATCAATCAAAAACATTTTTTTATAAAAACCTCTTTAAATAAAAAGAAAGAGTGGCCCAGCTGATGTGACTCAGGGGTTGAGTGTTGACCTGTGAACCAGGAGGTCACGGTTCGATTCCTGGTCAGGGCACATGCCTGGGTTGCTGGCTCCATCCCCAGTGTGGGGCGTGCAGGAGGCAGCCGATCAATGATTCTCTCTCCTCCTTATACAAGAGGTAGAGGGAGATTTACAACCAGAGACAGGAGGAGGTGATGTGAAGACAGAGCAGAGAATCGTGGCCACAAGCCAAGGAGTGCCTGGGACCACCTGAAGCTGGAAGAAGCAAGGAAGGAGTTCTCCCCCAGAGCCTTGATTTTGGGCTTCTGGCTCCAGAACTGCAAGAGAATACATTTCTCATTTTAAGCCACCAAGTTTGTGGTAATTGTTACGATGGCCTCAAGAAACTAAAGCTTCATAAAAAAAAGGTCAATACAGCTGTCTCCTCATGTTTGCATTCTAGAAGAGAAAACCAAGTTATGAGACTGAACATCACTGACAAGGCTCAAAGGTGAAGAAACTTGCTTCTGGGTCCTGCATGCTACGTCCAGCCTAAGACAGACACAGGAAGAAAAGCTTCGCTCGTCATTCATATTTGTTTTCTTCAGTGGCTGAGGCGAGGACAAAAGGACCACGTGCACCACCACACTAGTGGGGTTGGTTTTGGACTTGCACATCAAGCGTTTGCTCTGTGTTCCATATTTTTTTTAAATCCTCACCTGAGGATATGTTAATCAATTTAAGAGAGAAAGGGAGAGAGAGAGAGAAACATTGATCAGTTGCCTCCCACATGCGCCCTGACCAGTGTTTGAACCAGCAACTCAGGTATGTGCCCCGATCAGAAATTGAACCCGTAACGGTTTTGGTGTACGGGATGACAGCTCCAACCAATTGAGCCACTTGGCCAGGGTCCATGTTCTGTATTTTTAGTCTCAGAGTAGAGGATGCAATTAATGGTGTTCCTTTCTTTACAAAGATCTAGATCAGTGGTTCTCAACCTTCCTAATGCCACGACCCTTTAATACAGTTCCTCATGTTGTGGTGACCCCCAATTTCATTGTTACAAATTGAACATAATTAAAGCATAGTGATTAATCACAAAAACAATATGTAATTATATATGTGTTTTCCGATGGTCTTAGGCGACCCCTGTGAAAGGGTCATTCAACCCCAAAGGGGTCGCGACCCACAGGTTGAGAACCGCTGATCTAGATTAACATGGTCACCCATTTTCTGAAGTGTTCCAAAGAAGGAAACAACAGACCCTGGTATCCCACACTTCCCCACCCACTCCTCAGCGGGGTCCTCCAATTTGTTGTACTCTGAATACACTGAGGGTGCTCGACTCTGTTACCATTATTGTGCTCGTGGTACAAGCAAACAGATATGCAGATTTTGCCTGGAAATGTTCTTATCCAATGACTTTATTGTGGTTGATGAACTGTGTTAACTATGTCACTTGGAGGCCTCTGTTGCCCTCTGACTTAGATCAAGGTCAGCAAATATAGCCTATGGGCTGGCCATCTGTTTTGTTTTTATTTTTTAAACTTACACATCTTTATTTTAATTCTATTTTATGTATTTTATTTTTAAATATGGAATGCTTCATGAATTTGCATGTCATCCTTGTGCAGGGGCCATGCTAATCTTCTCTATATTGTTCCAATTTTAGTATATGTGCTGCTGAAGTGAGCATACATCATGCTTTTTAATAAATATGTTTTTCTTGATTTTATTTTATCTTTTAAAAATATCTTTTTTATTGATTTCAGAGAGGAAAGGAGAGGGAGAGAGAAAAACATCAATAATGAGAGAGAATCATTGATTGGCTGCCTCCTGCACACCCCCTACTGGGGATCAGGCCTGCAACCTGGGCATGTGCCTGGACTGGGAATCAAACTGGTGACCTCTTGGTTTGTGGGTTGACACTCAACCACTAAGCCACCCTGGCTGGGCTGTTTTGTCTTGTTTTTATTATTATTAATTTATTTTTATTTTATTATTATTTTTTAATCCTTACTTGAGGATATTTTCCCATTGATGTTTAGGGAGAGTGAAAGGGAGGGAGGGGAGAGAGAGAGAGAGAGAGAGAGAGAGAGAGAGAGAGAGAGAGACATTAATGTGAGAGATACACATTGATTGTTTGTCTCCTGTGTGCCCCGACCAGGACCAGGCATGGAGCCTGCAACCGAGCTAAGTACCCTTGACTGGGATTCGGACCCGGGACCCTTTGGTCCTAGGTGCGATGCTCTAACCACTGAACAACTGGCCAGGGCTATTTTGTTTTTAAATGACAGCTTTGTTGAGATGTGATTGACATGCTATACAATTCATCTTTGTAAAGTGTATACGTCCATTGCTTTTAGTATATTCATAGTTGGCACAATCATAACCACACTCAGTTTTCATCATCCCCCCCCAAACCCATACATACCCATTAGTATACCCAGCTGCTCCACTTCCCCGCACCTCCTACCCCCAGCCTAAACAACCACTCATCTCCTTTCCGTTTCTATAGACTTGCCTATCCTGGGCATTTCACACCAATGGAATCATACAGTATGTGGTATTCTATGCCTGGCTTCTTTTACTTAATGTTTTCCAGGTTCATCCATAGTGTAGCATGTATCAGTGTTTTATGCTTTTTATTTTCAATTACTATTCTATTTAATAGATATGCAGCATTTTATTTATCCATTCATTAACTGATGGACATTTGGGTTGTTACTACTTTTGGTGATTGTGAATAATACTGCTGGAAACATTGGTGTACAAGTTTTTGTGTGGACATAGTTTTCACTTCTGTTGGGTGTATACTAAGGAATGGAATGGCTGGGTTATAGAGCAACTCACTTAACATTTTAAGGAACCGCTAGACTATTTTCCAAAGGGGCTGCACTATTTTACATTCCCACCAGCAGTACACAGGGCTCTAATTTCTCCACATCTTCACTAACAGTGACTTTCTGATTCCAACCATCCAGGGGGTATGAAGCGGTATCTCACGGTGGTTTTGGTGTGTATGTCCCTGATGACTAATGGTGCTAAGCATCTTTTCATGTGTTCATTGGCAGGGCCACCTGTGCTTTAAAGTTTGTTGGAATTCAGCCACGCCTCCTTGCTTATCTTCTGTCGAGGACTGCTTTCATACTACAGCGGCAGGATTGAGTAGTTGTTTACTCTCTGGCCCCTTGAGGAAAAATCTGCTGACCCCTGACTTAGATTAAAGGAGCAGGCTCTGCCTGTGGGTGAGATGGGCAGGCACTGGGACCAGGGAAGGAAGGGATGCCTGATAGGCCCAGCCTGCCCTGCCCAGCACTGTTCCTAGGTAGACACTAGCATAGAGAAGCAGAAGTGATGTGCGGGCCAGTGGAGTGTAAGCAGGCTGAAGTAATTCTGACAGAAGTTGTCGCTGGCCACTGTATGGAAGGAGTGCTAGGATCAAACAGGAAGCAAGCCCTCATCTGAAGGCTGGGTTCTCAGGAAGGCATGTCTCAGGACTGGAAAACCGCAGCGTGACCCTTCTGCTACCAAGGCCGTGCCCAGTGTAACAATGGGCGCGGCTTCCCTCCCGTCCCACCAGGGATCTGATGTTTGTTCTGTGCACAGTCGGCATCAGGCTCCTTTCACCTGAGCCACTGCTTTCTGTGTTTGGACTGCATGCTTTTGCTGCAATTTTCTGCATATTTTCTCTTCGCAAATCCCATCTTCCTTCCCAGAGCTTGGTGCTCATATGTCTGATTTTATCTCCTCCTCCCTGCCTTCTAGGGAGAAAAATGTGTTTTTTCTATAATGCCTGAACACAATAGTTCAGGAGGGCAACTAGCTCTCAAATATCCCCATTAAACCACCTTCCCATCATCTTCCTTCATCTCCTCCCACCCCCAACAATTGCTCATAGAAAAGACACCCAGCTTCCTTACTCAATCTTTAGAGAGGCCTTGGGTTTGCTCTCGGTCCAGGTGAAGCGCTTCAGCAAAGGGGTGGCCCGCAGAGCGCTACTGTCCACCTGGTAATCCTGGCGGGGAAGAAGAAAAAAGGTTACACTTCTTGTTTGACCCACAGGGGTCCACACCAAGTCTGGGGGAGGGCATGGGAGAGGCACAGCTAAAGTCACTCCAGGCTCTGTCCTCACCTTTCACAGTCCCTGCCCATTAAGACAAAGCATTTCTTCATATGGAAAGTCTAAACTTTAGTTGTAAGAAATGCCTATTCCCAGTGACTTGAAGCCCTTCTTCCTGAAGGTGGAGAAATTAAAACAAAAGGGGAACCTGCAGGTAACAGATGAGCATTTTTTATAGTAAACTTCTATGGAAATTATTGTATAAATACATTAAAACTAATTCTGACAGATGACTATTTGCTATGAGAGTGCTGTTATTTGGTGGCTATGATATACAAAAATTCTGAGAAATTATAAATACAATAGCAGCCCGGTGCACGAAATTCGTGCATAGGCGGGGGGGGGAGGGGGTGGTGGTGTCACTCAGCCTGGCCTGCACCCTCTCCAATCTGGGACCGGCTGGCTCCTAATCGCTTGCCTGCCTGCCAGCCTCATCACCCGCTAACCGCTCCCCTCCTGGCCTGATTGCCCCCAACTGCCCTCCCCTGCGGTGACCCACCTCTTCTGCTGGGACCGGCCTCCTCCTTACTGCACGGAGCCACGGGACCCCCAGGCTTCACCGCATGGAGCGGCCGCCGGGCCCTGCCTCCGCTGTGCACGTGGCCATCTTTGTGGCGGCCATCTTGTGAGGCCACCTAGGCTTTTATTAGTATAGATCAGTGGTTCTCAACCTTCCTAATGCCGTGACCCTTTACTACAGATCCTCATATTGTGGTGACCCTCAACCATAAAATTATTTTCGTTGCTACTTCATAACTGTAATGTTGCTACTGTTATGAATTGTAATGTAAATATCTGATATGCAGGATGAATTTAGGTGACCCCTGTGAAAGGGTCATTTGACCCCCAAAGGGGTCGCGACCCACAGGTTGAGAACCGCTGGTATAGATGGTTTAATTTTTTTCTTGAAGATTCTGTGGAATTTTCGGGACCCCTTGGTCATGGTTTCCAGCAATTCTATTTTCTTGTTGGTTCATCTTTAGCATTGAGTTTATGCAGATTCCTCATTACTCTGTTAATAGGCCATTTCCAGTAAGTTGTTGCCATGCTTTGTTCCTGTCACCCTGTGAATCAGCTACTGGCTGTGTTCATGTCCTCGATTATCAGTAAACAGGCCTAAGCCAGCCAAGAAGCTGCTGTCATTCCCACTGTATCGGGGCAGGGAGGGAGGGGGAAGGGGAGATATCTTCCATGTTTGCTGAGTATCATTTCCTTGGACCTAAAACCTAAGTACTAAACAGCAAAACAAACTTTCCAGCTACTTTACCTTTACATTCTTGGCTTGTTTGTAATGCTTTTAAATGTTTAAATTACCTTTTCCTCTTGATCTGGTGTGTTTGAAGAAGTTTTGGTGTATTTACGGTGACTGTGCTACATGTCACGGCCACACTGTTTGTGGTCACTCCCTTCGCACTGTAGTTGGTTTCCAGGCTTCTGTGGGACATGGTCATCACCAGCACGTCTCACACTCGAGTGTGCACTTGAGTCCCGAGACCGTGCAGAGTCTGACTCAGTGAGTGTGGGCGGGTCCGAAGAGCCAGCATTTCTACCCGCTCAGTGGCAGCCGTGCGTCTGTGGCGATCACTCTGTGAGTGTGAGGGTCTGTGAGGCCACAGGGCGCTCCTGCCCAGCGCCCCCTTTCCTCCCTGATTGTCTCACCCCCAGGTCCCAGAGCTTTCAATAGACAATGAGCCCTCGTGTGTGCCAGGCTGCATAGATTGCTCCTCCCAGTGCAGCAGGGTAGGAACATGGCTGTTCAGTCTCCATGACCTTCGTGGAAGGAGCATAGGCCCAGACAGACTTCTTCCAGGATCTCGGGCTGCTCTTAGAGAGCTTTCTGTTACATCACAAAGGCCCAGCCACTCAGAGTTTTGAGTTCCTCTATCCTCTGAAAGTAGGGCTCCGTCACTGGTAGCCAAGAAGCTTACAAGCACACAACAAAGTTTCCTAAGGGACTAAATTATGACCAGATAAGGACTTGGACCCTGGAATGAATTCGGGTCATCTTTAAACTATGGGTTTACCTGCTTTCCAATGAGCTCTGTATAACTGTGTTATTTTCAATCCCCCTGAAATTGCCATTTCAGCCACCACTCATTATTGGCCCGCACTGACTGAGAGCCACCAGACTACTGGAGTGTGGGTTTGGGTGGAGTCTGGCAAAGGATCTTGCCAGGGTGCATTGAGTAGGTTCATTCCATTACTTACATCAAGCATAGCGGTGACATTTGGTGAAAGTTCTTCAAAGGTTTTGATTCTCTCCAGGCTCATGAAATTGAAAGCATTTACATATCTAATGAAGAAGCAGAAAGAATAATCAAGACAGGAAAATGCATCCAGCTTTGATTAGCCAGGAGACCATGGGCAGCGTATCTCAGCAATGATGAACCAAATACCAGAAGGAATCATCTTACTCCTGAGACTGAAGTTCCCCCAGGTTGTTAATTAACTTCCTCCCATGGTTGTTAATCCACATTTCATAGTTTTGAGCAAAACCCCAGAGGGATTTGAGAGACTCAGTAGTGGTTAGACCTCTGGCCCCTTGTGGAATCAGAAAATGTCAGGCCTAGAAGAGACCTGAGCCATCATCTAGTCTAAACACCCCACATTACAAAGAAGAGGAAGTAATGCCCAGAGATGTGACATGACTTTATCATGTGGCTGCCTACTTCTAAAAGGATGTGAGGGAACCAATGCAATGACCTGGTAGGGTCACACAGCTGATTTAATGGCATAATTGAGTACTAGAGCTGGTCTTGTATATTCTGTTCTGTGATTACAGATTGGGAGAAATGGGTAATATTTGTGTGATTTCCCCATAACTACCTCCAGACCTTTTGTTGGAGATCCTTTAGGAAAGACTCTCAGAGAAATCCACCATATGGTTACTCATAAGACAAGTTCATCTACTGATTGAGTTTCTCAGTCTGATACCTTGTCACTGTCTGTAAGGCTTAGTTTCTTAGGCAAGCTCTCTATTGGGCCTAAGGCTAAGCAACGTACTGGAAGGGCCCAAATATCTTTGACACTCCCCTCCCTGATCTCTGACCCAATCAGACCCTGCCAATTTATTTAATCCAAGCTAGTTTTCTCATCTTTAAAAAATGGATGGCTCCTCTGTTTCATCTTCTTGGGCTGGTTGTGAAATATGAGCAGTGCCACTGACCTGCCACCCATTACCACAAATCTGGGCTGGCCACTGGGCTTCTAGGCTGTCAATCTTTTCAGACTGTGCAGCTTTTCCCAGTGCCTTCCCTGGTCACCTGCCAAGTTTGGCTGAACTGAGGTCAGAGTCTTAGGGTTGAGTCCACTGCAGATAAAGATGCTGGAAGGTCCACAGGATAGTCAGTCCCAAAAGGAGTCCTGACTGCATGGAACAGGGAGGGAGTGGCAGAACACCTGGGCTAGAAACTCTCTTCTGACACAGTTTTGGCAAGCTATTCCTCATGGAACCTTAATGTCCTCAACTGTATAGCATGAATAATAATATCTCCTTCATAGGGTTGTTTTGAACCTCAAAGGAGTTGACATATGCCAAAAGCCTAGCACAATGCCAGTCCACACAGCATGTGTCTGTGTGACCATTAGTACTGAATGTATACGATACACGTACTAGTATAACCATTAGTATGGAGGTGTCATACATGTGTAATCATTAGTACTAATGTGTGATACATGTGCAACAATTAGTAACAACATATGTGACATATATGTAACTGCTAGTACTGAACATGTGTGATACACATGTAGCCACCCCTCCCCCCCCCCCCCCCGCCGCAGTAGGAAGCTCTCAAATATTTCTTCCCTACCCCTCTCTCCAATTTCCTCTGCAGTAATGAGAGATACATTCGTTTATCAGGTAAGAAAGAAAAATCCAGTGTGTTTGTTTAATTGTATCTAAACTCTTATCAAAATAGTCAATGTTATTGGGAAAAAAAAGATGGAGGAATTATTCTAGAACTGTGGTTCCCAACTTTTTTTTGGCCATGCCCCACCTAAGCATCTCTAAAATCCTGATGCCCTCCTTAGGGTGACATATAATTCTTATTATTCAAAAAGTGAATTCCTATATATGTGGAGGAAGCCTAAAAGGCCATTAACTTGATCTAAACAAGTTTCCAAAGAACATGGCATGAAAGAGAAAAATAAAAGAACAAAAGGACAGCTGAAGTACTGAGGAAGAAATCACTAAGAAATTGTTAAAATAATAATATGAAGTGATATGAAAAATAGCAAATAAAGTTTCAAAACATATAATAGAGAACTGAAGTGCATAAATATGACATAATATATCTTTATATACTATACTAGAGGCCCGGTGCACAAAATTTGTGCACTCGGTGGTGGGGGGGGGGTGCGTCCCTCAGCCCGGCCTGCGCCCATTTGCAGTCCAGGACCCCTTGGGGGATATCCACCTGTTGACTTAGGCCCACTCCCCAGGGGATCAGGCTTAAGCTTGCAGTCAGACGTCCTTCTGGTAGCCAGGGAGCCCTCGGGGGATGTCCGACTAAAGGCTTAGGCCCCCAAGGGATCGGGCCTAAACTGTTAGTTAGACATTCTTAGTGCTGCCGTGGAGGTGGGAGAGGCTCCTGCCACCACCTCCGCACTGGCCAGCCATGAGCCAGCTTCTGGCTGAGTGGCACTACTCCTTGGTCTGACCTAAACCCTAGAGATTAGTACTTCATTTTACAACTTTTTCTCGGTTTATAGGCAGCAGCAAACTCAGACCACGCAGTCGGGTGTGCGCCCATGCCCTCCCGCCCTCCGATGCCATGGCGATCCTGGGCCCAGGCCCTCCCACCCTCCGATCGCCATGGCATCGCTCCACGCAGGCCAGCCGGCAACCCCGGCCCCAGTGGGGTCCCGGGTTGCCGCCTGGCCTGCACCCGGGCCCTCCCGCCCTCCGATGCCATGGCGATCCTGGGCCCAGGCCCTCCCGCCCTCCAATCGCCATGGCATCTCTCCGCGCAGGCCAGCCGGCAACCCCGGGCCCTGGGGTCGGGTTTGCTGCCCGGCTTTCCAATGGCGATCACCGGCTGGGGGGTGGGGAAAGGCGGCCTTTGCCCACCCCCTAGCTCTTGCCTGCCACCTGGGTTGCCGATCACCATTCTTCAGTCCTTCCCCTTTTGCCTCCCATCATTGGGCGTATGCAAATTAGCCGCCATCTTTTTTGGCGGTTAACCGCCATCTTAGTTGGCAGTTGATTTGCATAAAGATATGCTGATTAGCCAATGGGAAGGGTAGCGGTCGTACGCTAATTACCATGTTTCTCTTTTATTAGTGTAGACTAGTATATGAGGCCCCTAGAACCATAAGAAATGCAAAAAATTCACTGTTAATAACTCATTCTCGAATTGCCCCCCTTAAAAATCAAATTGCCTCCCTTTGGTGCGTATGCCCCACATTGGGAACCACTGTTCTAGAATAAAATAGAGGAACTGAAGAAAATGCAAAGTGTTATTCTTGGTTGGATCCTTCTTTTTAAGGTGTAAAAGACATTTGGGGAAATCTGAATACTTAACAATATTAAAGTATCAATTTCTTTGGTATGATCATTTTGATGTGGTTACACAGGAGAATATCCTTACAAGATGTATACCAAAGTATTTAGGTGGACAGTGTATAATGGTTTAGGCCTTCTTTCAAATGCTTCATTAAAAAGAAAAATACACACACAGAGACTGTGTACAGATACATAGATATGTAGACCAAATAGGGGTAACTTAACTATAGTTGAATTTAGGAGGTGTGGTTTTTTTATGTTTAAAAACATTATAATATAAAGCTGGGGAAAGAAAAAAGTCTTACCTGACATTATCAGAACTTCCTGAATTAAACTTTGGAGCTGGAATATCTTCCTTGAAGTAGTCCTCAGGGAAGGCAGGAGTTGAGTATGTGAACCCACTGTTTCCTGTCAATATGGCATTTAGTGGGATATAGTCTTTGCCATCCTAAAATACCAAAGATAGAGCTGTAAGTGCAGAAATTTCTACTTCAACCAATTTTTGTGAAGCATTATGTCAATGTCAACTATGTTATATCTACAATCTTATTGTGTTTTGGAAAGATAATTCTGTAAAAGATAATTATTGTATGCACACCCCTCCTTTTTTTTTTTTTTACTGCTAATCTCAGTTATTAACAGCTATTAAAAGAACAAAACACCCCCTTGGCTTACACCCAAAAAGGCGTTTGGCTTCTGGTATTCTAGATAGCTTTACCTGTTGTACATTGGCTTGAAGCAAATCGCCTAGTTTTTCCACCAGTTCTGCGAATCTTGGCCTTTCTTTGGGGTCTCTGTGCCAGCAGTCCAGCATGAGCTGATAGCTGTTGGGTGAAAGCATAAGAGCAATGATTGGAGAGAGCGGCGATGATACAGCTGCCCCACATGCCGCACCCCAAAGCGAAGGTGTTGTCATATATATGATGATTAGGCTTCTTGTATGATATGTGCCTTTATTTGTAAATTTCGTTACGCAGCACCAACACATAAATGGCTGTTTGGGGCAGGTCCTGCTGGTGGGGAAAATATGTCCTCAAAGGCAGGTTAAGGAACCCTCTCCAGAGCCCATCACAACCCTAGTTCTTTGGAGTGCAGAGTGGAAGGGCGTTCTGGGAAGAAGCAGAGCTGCGGAAAGGAAAAACCACTGTTCGCTGCACTTAGATCTGAGGTGCAGTATTTCTCCCCTCACTGACAAAAGCAGGACTTTTTAAAGGCAAAACGTTAACATAGACACAAATATCAATGGGTGAATAGTTTGCAGTACTTGTTATATTATCAGGCTGTAACAGAGGCTGCTTGGACTTTTTAAAAAATATATTTAAGAGAGGAAGGAAGGAGAGAGAGATAGAAACATCAATGATGAGAGAGAATCATTGATTGGCTGCCTCCTGCACTAGGGATCAAGCCCACAACCCAGGCATGTGCCCTGACCAGGAATCGAACCGTGACCTCCTGGTTCATAGGTTGGCGTTCAACTACTGAGCCACACCGGCTGGGCTGGCTTGGACTTCTCAATAAGCATGTGGCATTTCCAAGTCCTCGGAGTTCTGGTGGAAGCTGATGGAGACGGCCCTGTGTGTAGGACTCATATCACTTCCAAAAGGTGGCAGTCCACCTAAGTATGAGTGTGTCCTTGGACTGTGCACAAGTTCCTTGCCTGTGGCTGATTTCCCGTCCCCAGCACTTCAAAGGCTTCCTACCACTGAAGGCAGAAATATAGGCTGGGCTTCTGGACATGAAAACACTTGTCTTAATATTACAGAAGCTGAATCTTGTTCTGGATTTCAATGTCAGCAGGTTCCTCTGCAATTCTTCTCCTCTGACATCTTAGAAATGAAGGTATTGGGCTCCTCTCTTGGTCGTGTCTGCAGGGACACAAGCCAGCAGTCTGCACACACACACTGCCTTAAGGATTTATTCTTTTTGGGCTCTTTGCTCTCTCCAAGAGATGTTTATTGTAAGTAATCTCTTCTCTCAGGAGATCATCGGGACTAGAGAGAACTCAGACTGTGTAGGATCAAAATCTGAATGGGCTCGAAATTTGGAACTGGGCAGGGACCTCATCGCCACACCCTTTACCTAGTCCAGGGCCTGGCACATAAGCACTCAATAAAGATTTGCTGAAGGAAGTCAGACTGGCCTCCGGGAAGAGAGAGCACCTGAGCACCTCCAGTGCTCCTCTGACCTCGCCACTCCCAGCTGTGTGCTTTCACAGGTGCACCAACAGCTCCAAGTGTCTCATAAGGATATCCCTATTTGGCTTCAAAGCATATGAAGTGGCTGGTAAAGACAGTAAGTATAGGAAGGTTAAAAAAAAAAAGAAGAATGTCGGTGGGGGTAGGTACAATAAAGAATATAAGGTGGAACTACAGACAAAGTTAATATGCAAAGTTTATATCATGACTCCCAGATAACTGGCAAAAAAGAAGTTGCAATCAATTACATGATGCGCATAAGCCAGCAGTTCAAAACAAACCAGGTACTTGGAAGTCACATGGCCATTCCTAGAACTGAAATCTGAAAGGAGGCTCTCCTAGACGCCTCTCAACATCATTGCCATCTAGGTAATAATGACTTTGTGGGCCCGCCTTTTTTATTTATTTACTAGAGGCCCAGAGCATGAAATTCGTGCACGGGGGTAGGGTGGGGAGGAGGGAGGTGGTCCCTCAGCCCAGTCAGCACCCTCTCCAATCCAGGACCCCTTGGGGGATGTCCGACTGCTGGTTTAGACTCCATCCCGCAGGGGGTCACTAGGCCCCCCAGGGATGGGGCCTAAACTGGCAGTCGGTCATCCCTCTCACAATCCAGGACCGCTGGCTCCTAACCACTTGCCTGCCTGCTTTCCTGATTGCCCCTAACCACTTGCCTGCCTGCCTGGTCACCCCTAACTGCCTCTGCTTGCTGGCCTGATTTCCCCCTAACTGGTCCCCTGCCGGCATGGTCACCTCCTAACTGCTCTCCTGCCGGCCTTGTCACCCCCAACTGCCCCCTGCTGGCCTCGTTGCCCCCTAACTTCCCCCCTGCTGGCCTGGTTGCCCCATAACTGCCCCCCTGCCAGCCTGGTTGCCCCCTAACTGTCCGGAAGGAAGTTGGACGTCCAGAAGATGTCCAGTCAACCCGGTCTAATTAGCATGTTACCCTTTTATTAGTACAGATCTTTATTGTTGACGTCCCCCATTTTCTCCCATCGGACACTATCTTTTAATGTTGACCAAAGCCTTAATAGCAAAAAATACCATTCAGTAAAAACAATTCTGAGAAACAAAACAGTGTAGTCCAGGTATACAAGTCCTAAAGTTCTGATTTAACCCAGGGATAAAATTCTAGGTGCCCAGGGGAATGTTGGCACCATGTGGTCTTCAGACATCCTCTGCTTTCCTCATAGTTGGACACTGAGTTTCTGTTTTCTGACAAGTACCCAGTAAAGCAGATGTCTGAAGACACTGAGTAAGGGATAGGAGCTCATAAAAATAACTTGTCTGAATTGCCAATTCTCCTACTTTTGTCCAAACCTATGGGTCAAGGCTCTTCTCAGAAGATGACTCTGGTTCCCTCCCACCCTTTGTTTCATCTACTGTACCTATGCTCCTAACTCCCAGGGGGTGTAGAGTGGGTCAGCTGGTTCTGAGAGCTTGTGAAGGCCCTTTGGTGAGTGTGGTGTGCGGACCAACGTTGGGTACCACTGCACTGGGACTCCATTACAGACAGAGGAGACTGGGAGTGAGGAAGGGAACTCTCACCCTGGGCTGTTGTCCCTGCTCTCTGGGAGGCACAGGACAGGGCTGCAGCTCTCACGGTCCCTAACAGTTCCTGACCGGCAGTGCCTCAGAGTAAGGGCTCAAGGCACTCATTCAGGCAACCTGGGCCAGCCTGTGGTGACCGAAAGTCTGAAGTAGCCTAAGACAGTCTGCACAGTCCTATGGGAATCTCATTTTCAGGTAAGTTTCTATGTGTTACTCACTAAGACAGGTGGAAAAATATATACTACAGAGACAGGTGGTCGCTAGACAAAAGCCCCATGCTGCATGGGCTGTGGCAGAGGCTGGCCTGCTCCCCTCTGGCCACGTTCAGGCCCAATCGTCCAAGGCTCCTTTATCTCTAGCAATAAACAGAGTCTCAGGGGCCATTGGGAGAACATTAAACATATCCATAGACAACCTACGAAAGGAAGCCAAAGCAAGAAAGACTTGAACTGGGAAAACAGAAAGGGAGCCTGAGACAGGGAGGACGGGTCAGAGGCCTCGCTTGCTCAGCCAGCAGCACCTCACACTGAGCAAGCAGCTGTTGGGGATGTGACAGTGAGCAGGGCTCTTCTGGGTTGTCTGTGCTGAAACTAGCAAGAGGGACCACCTACAACTCTTGCTGTTTTGTATTTTGATTCTTGGTTTCTGATTTCTAGCTTTCACTTCTCTTTCCTGAAATTCAATACAAATTATCTCAGCAAACACCAAAGAAAAGGAAAAAAATTAACTGCTTATTCCCTTTTTGACAGACATCTGATTAAACAGGCTCTGGGCAGAAAACCAATGACTTAGCGTTGAACAGTGTTACATCTCTAAATAAACAGGTTTTAATAAAGTGAAGGGACACCAGTTACGCCCAACCCAACAGCCCTTCTTGGAATAAGCCGGGGGCAAGGGGCCTCTGGGAAGAGCTTCCAGTCTGAGCCACACCCAAGCTCTCGCGTGCATGCCACTTTAAGCCAAGTCCAGGTCACAGAATCCCAGATCTGAGAGCTGTACTCCGTCCTCACCCCGGCAACTTTCAAATGCTTCAGAATGGCTAAGGTTGAACTCTGTCCTTCTGAACCAACACTTCACGAAACTGCATCTTACTTTTTATCATTTCTGAAATAAATCCTTAGAATTAAGGAACAATCCTTTCTCTGGCTGCAGGGGGTACCAGGGCTACATGGGAGACTTGAAGGTTTGGGAAAGTTGAAAGTCCAAGGGAGTTTTTAGTCCACAGCTGCTCTGACTTTGTACCTCTACAGTTATTCTGTACATAAGTGTCCTTTTTTCCCCCCCGCCCTTGACCCAAGGGAGTTTTTAGTCCACAGCTGCTCTGACTTTGTACCTCTACAGTTATTCTGGACCAGAAGCTGGGTTAGACTCGGAAATACACTCTGCAGATATGTAGCACAGTGCTACTGTATAGGGTTGTTATGAGCATTAGGAAAGTGAATATATGTTATAAGTGCAAAGACAGTGTCTGGCACTTAATAAGCACTAAATAACTATTACATGTTGTTTAATAATGACTGCAATTATTACTATTACTGCTAGTGATAGAGAACTCATTCTTATGATTTTCACATTATGTGAAAAGTGGAAGGAAATATTTAACTCAGAGCATGAGTGGACACGTTAGAGAAACCTTTCTTCTAAGGCATGTGGGGCGTATTCCTAATTTAGCGGTCGTGAGATCTAGGGAGACCAGCCGAAAGGACTAGCTTCTAGATTTGTTTCCTCTATTATAGCTCAGTGGTCGGCAAACTCATTAGTCAACAGAGCCAAATATCAACAGGACAACGATTGAAATTTCTTTTGAGAGCCAAATTTTTTAAACTTAAACTATATAGGTAGGTACATTGTTATTAACTTAATTAGGGTACTCCTAAGGCTTAGGAAGAGCCACACTCAAGGGGCCAAGAGCCGCATGTGGCTCGAAAGCCACAGTTTGCCGACCACGGAGTCTTAGCCGATAGAGGACACATCACTTCACTTCTCAGAGCAGTGGTTCTCAACCTTGGCTGCACATTAGAATCACCTGGGAATCTTTTTAAAATCCTGATTTCTGGGCCTCATCCTCCGGAAATTTTGTTTTCTTTGTTATGTGGCGGGGCCACCACATTATGATAACAAAGAAACAGAATTCCTGGAGGATGAGGCCCAGAAATCAGGATTTTAAAAAGATTCCCAGGTGATTCTAATGTGCAGCCAAGGTTGAGAACCACTGTCTTAGAGGTTTAGTTTCATTACTTATCACCTGCCTGCTCCTTAAGGTTGCAGGAACTGCAGAGGAGATGGTGCGGGGAAAACACAAAACCTAAGGTGCCAAGTAATCTCCTTTTAAACCAGGTCTGGTGTTTGCCCTCTCCACCAGTAAAAGGAAACAAGTAATGAAAAACTCTCCATGCCTTGAGCACTACAGCCCCAGTGCAGCCCTCGTGGCTAATTTATGTGTCCCCAGCTCTCAGAAAGGGGACTTTCTGCACTTTCTCCAACAAGGAGACCGTGTAAGGCTGCCCCCCACTCTGCCTTCCCAGGCCTGAGTCCCCTGCCCTCCTCGCCTCCACCCGGGGTCTGACCTAACCTTGTCTCCAGACCTGAAGGAAAGAGACAGAGACCTTGCCCTCTGGCCAAGCCCACACTTCCTCCATTCCCTCTGACTCCTCCCCAGAGGCCATCCCAGGGCTTCTGACAGGACCCCATTGTGTGGGTGGGATGGGGAGGGCCGCCTGCCAGTTCAGGAAAGGTGGTGCCGCCCTGGGGAGGCCCAAGTCCTTGTCAGCAGCTCCACAAAACTGCGAGTGTCATCACATTCCTGTTCAGGAAGAAAGAGCATCCAAGAAAGGCAAGCGAGCCTCAAACAATGGAGGAAGCTCCACACAGAGCCTGTCACCTTCCTGGAGTCACAGGGCTGCACAGCAGGAAGCCACCGCGAGAAGCTCCAGGCAGCTGCAGCCAATTCCTAAGATGAGTCTAAAGCAGTCTTGTTGCCCAAGCTGCCTCCTGTGGAGTATAATGACTGATTCCGTCAGGAAATCCCCCGCTTCCTCTCCTACACCTCTTCCCCTGCGTTCCAAACCCACCCCCTCACTGGTCTTTAGTGAGGACAGAGGACTGGTCATAGGGCTTCTAGCACGTTGTCCCTGTGGCTGCTTACTTATTTGGCTTCCACTTTGTGAGGACAAGGTCTTACATTTAGTTCCTGGGTGGTCTGTTAGTTTTGCCTGGATTCATACCTAGAATTGAGTTTCTAACTTCAGTTCCCAGCCAGAGGCCTTGCAAAGCCACGCCAGTGGTCAGGAGAGGAAATAGGTAAGGATGGCTCAAGGTCAGGGTGCCTCACTTCTGGAAGATACTCCAGCACACTTGGACCCGACTGAGGCTAGGCAGGACTGGGATGCTAAAACTCAACAAATGTCCCCTTTCTGAGGTGTCCTGCTGGCATGAGAGCTGTCAGGGGTATGGAGGAGGCCCAGGGCTCACATTTCGGGAGTTGCATACTCAGGAGCCCTCATCCTCATGCCTTCCTTCAGGCGGCTGCAGAAGTCCTCGTCCATCTGCACTCCTGGGTACGGAGACCCACCTGCGTGAGACAATGGGAAACACAGGGCACATTATGGCTTCAGGGTACAAAAGACTATAAGGGGGTCCTTTTCCTCCCTTTAAAGTGATGGTTTAGTAATAAATTCACAGTGACTGGAATGGATCTCCACACACAGTACAACCCATACTGAAGCTCAGCAAATGCCTGCTGGTGACACACGCTTGCCTGGCCGGTCCCGTGGTGCTGGGTGTCCGATACCCTAGGTCATTCCTGTGGCTACTCCTGTCTGTTTGCTCAGGAGAGAGAGTGTCATCTGAAGGGTCCCTTCTCTCTCCCCAAAAGGAACTCTAAGGAAATCAGTCATTAGACTCATTCCTTGCGTTAATAAACTTCATTTTAAAAGGCCAAGGTCACTTGTGGATTACTCACACCTCAGTGAGGGTGATTTTAATTCACTACTTTCCTGTAAACTTCTCACAGAACGGGGCACTAGTTGCTGTGCTAGGACTGAGGGAGAGGGGCCTTGAGCTCCAGGAGGAGCTGAATGTAGGGATGGCCTGTAGGCAGGAGTCTGTGCACCAGAGGGTCCCAGAGGGCCTAGACTTTGCCTTTTGTGAGTTTTGCTGTTCAGGATGCCCACGTAACCTTTCCTTTTAGGGGGACTCTTGGCTAGGGGTAGTAGTGAGCCAGGCCTCTAGTCTGCTCTGTTCCAGACCTCGAACCTAGTCTATCTCAGCATGTGTTTGTCTGTACTTTCTAGTGATTACTGCTGGTAGGAAGCAGCTGGGAGGTGTGCAGTGCTGGCACTGTGTCACTGTGGGGCCATGTGGCCGCCAAGCTGCTTTCAAAGACTGGAAGCAACAGGTGCCTGTCATCGAAAGCAGGGGAATGATTTCCACACATTACAGGAAACCAGGGATGTTACTGGGTGACTTTTATTTGTTCTAAAAGGCCAATTTTTGGCAAAGTCCAAAAGACTCTTGGCTAGACCCCACATTTGGGAGGCTTCAGAGCATCATTGTGTGTCTGCAAGCAGATGTGGACTCTGTGCACATCTGTGTGCTCGGGGCCTTGAACAAGGCTTCTAGCCACCCATAGTGGATGTTTCTGGAAGCAGAATAACTACATCCAATGTCCCCGTCTTTCATCCTGCATAAACCACTGTCCGGGACTAGCTGTGTTTACATTAGCTGCACTATCCAGGCCTCCTGCTCCTAACACTGGTTGGCTTGTGCTCGCTGGGGCCTTTCCTAGGACACTCGAAGGAGGCATGATGCAGGGAGGGAGGAGGACAGGGCAGTAGGAATCAGTGTGCTTGAGGAATTAGGAGAAGGGGGAAAGGACAAAGAAAGGAGTAGCCAGACTGGCTGAATGTAAACCCGACTTCAGATCTGTACTGGTCTGACCTTGTTTGTGTCTAAAGCATCCTTACTTTGAAGGGTACACACGCACGCACCACTCCTCACCTGCGATTCTGCACGGACCCACGCTCTGTGAGGTTTTAGGTTCTTTTAGAAGCTGACCTAAAGGTTGTATCTACCCAAAGACACTCAGCAGACATTTGGTTCTTGTCTATTTGATCTCTTCCTTCCCCCAAATTTACCTAAGGAGAAGATTTCCCATAGCAGTACTCCATAAGACCACACGTCGCTCTTGGTGCTGTAGATTTTGTCAAAGATAGATTCAGGAGCCATCCATTTCAGGGGAAGTCGCGTCTAGAAAAGGGCAAGGGGGCCTTGAGCAGAAGGACATGCAAACAAAGCACATTCAACCCAAGTGCCCATAGGGTCACTTCCCAGATAACACTTGGCCCAGAAATCATTTCCTAGAGCAGTTATGGTTTCCTAACACGGAGAAAACGCTTATAACATGCAGTTGTACTAAAAGAGAGCGGTGGGCTATGTGATTCCCATGAAGATAATTACTGTTTAGTAAGCCCCTCCTATGTGTCCAGCACGTCTTAACTCCATGACTGTAAGAAATGAGTCTCCCCCAAACCCTGCACTCCACAGGGACCTGGAAAAGGGCGATCTGAATTGGAAGACATCCTGAAAAATCCATAATTTCTAGAAATTTTTCTTCAGAAGGAGGATTTTGAACAGCATTCTTATGTAAAAAGACAGAATTTTAAGTCATTAAATGGGGGTAGTGGGCAAAGGCACAGGAAGGAAAGAAGGTGATAGACAGTATCTGGTAGACCATATGGCTGGTTTTCAGGTGTCCAGACACATTTTTGTTCTCTTCTTGGTAACAGGAATCCTGGTGAGTTAGGCCTTGCCGCCTTAGGTGGATGGGAACGAAGTATGGGACAACGGAGAGACAAAGAGAAAAATGCAAGGGGGAGGAGCAGGGAGAAGCTGAAAGAGATACAGATGAACAGAAGAGGACAGACAGATACATAGATAGATGCCATCTCTGCAAGTCAGGGCTCCTCAAGAAAATTTTTTTTGTTTTTTTGTTTTGTTTTGTTTTTTTAATAAAAAGAGACTGGAGCGGTGGCTCTCAAAGTAAAGTCCTGGGACCAGCTGTGTCAGCAGCATCTAGAAACTTGTTAGAAAGGCAAATTCTCAGGCTCCACACAAGACTTTCTAAGTGAGAATTTCTGGGGGTGGGGCCCAGCTAACTGTAGTTTAATAAGCCCTTCAGGCGATTTGTGAGCGCACTGAAGTCTGAGAACCACCACTGTAGAGTAATCGGCAGGGCCCAGACACAGGCTTAAGCGCTCAGGGTGCAGGCTGAGAAGAGAGGACACAGGAGGTCACCCACAAAAGTGAAACATAACACTGTGTCCACAAACAAGCAGAGAAGAGCCAGTGTGAGCCACAGGTGAATGGTATGCATGGAAGGCGGGGGTGAGGCGGGGGGCAGCTTCCTCAATAACAAGATAATACCAATACCTCCCCACCCTTTCCTGAGATATATACACCTGCTGAGTCAATCATCTGGGTTTATTTGAGGGAAAGAGTCCAGGCTGTTCTTTCCAGTGATTCCAAAAACTCCCACAGGAGTCAAAGGGAGGAGCCCAGAGCCCGGCTAAACACTTCTCAGGTTAGCCATCTCAGGCAGCACTGCCCAGAGGACAGGTACCACGCCGGAAGTGAGGGAAGAGCAGGACCGGGTGAGCGGCCGTTCAGACTAGGGCCACCCCACACAAGGGCTCTCTGGGACACAGCCGTCTTGTCTCCACAGAGAGCACACGATGGTTTTCAGGGGACCACTGTCGAGGAAGTGTAAATATTTACCAAGGGCACTGGTCTGTGTTTAAAAATGATAGTGTATAAACGAGTCCAAGAAACATCAAACTGACTTACATCTCCTTTTCTCACATAATCGGGGTTCTTATAAATATCCCGGGCAAGGCCAAAATCGCAAATCTTCACCACGTTGTTCTCAGATAACAGAATGTTTCGTGCTGCCAGGTCCCGATGAATGCACTATAATAAAACAGTTGCATAATCAATGCATTTCCTTAGTCTAACTGACTAATTTCCTGTGGCTTCTCAGTGTCATTATTCTTCTTAATTTGAGGATCTGTTACACAACGGAAGCAACCCCCAGTGCACATGGAGTTACCATAAACGTGAAGCGCCTCTTTACAAATAGAGGCCCCCGGAGGCCCCAAACTCAAGGCAGGGCCTGCATCTGCTTTGCTACTGTTTTGCAGCACAGCACCCTCTTTGATGAGGCTGCAATCAAATTCTCCCAGGGAGCAAAACTTCCCCCCAAACTTTGGTCCTCCAGCTACAGTTCCCGGGAGGGCCCCACAGCTGGACTAACAGAGCCCTCCTGGGAATGGAGTGTTCTGGGCTCTGGCCAGGGCTGCAGACATGTGGAAGGCAATGTGAAGAATGGGGACCAGGTCTGTCCGGTCAAATTTTCCCCTAGAGTTCAGTTCTACCCCCTGGTATTAAGTCTTGGTGTTCTCAAAACTCCTCGCTCCTAGCAGGACAAATTCAGGCATCGGTCATGATATTTACTCTGTATTTAAGGACATAAGTATAAGCAAATACTAGGTAAAGTGGATTTATAGCCAACACGCGTGTTTGTCCATGTCAGTGTCCACATGTCCAGCCCTGGCAACGAAGAGCAACAGTAAAGAGCAAGGCTGACCTTTCTTGAAGACAAAAACTCCATGCCTCTGGCCACTTGAAAACTGTAAGAAATCAGATCTTCCATAGTTATGGGCTGCTTGTAGAAATCGTCAGAATCTGGAAAGCATTAAAACCGTAGCTGTTTGTAATGACGCTTGTGATTATGCCAAATCCCGGTTTATTGGATCAATGTTAGTAAAACATAAAACAAACCAATAAGTGGGTCAGAGTTCATTTTCAAGAGCATTTGAGTTTCAGTACGAATATCAGAGATTTTTCCAAGCCTCCAGCCCATTTTCCCAAGCATGGGGGTGGGGTGGGGGTGTGGGATGACCCGTTAAGACAAAAAGGCTTGAGGAGAGACAATTGTACAGAGTTCCCTGTCAAAATTAGTAACTCTGTAAATAATCTTATTCAAATCTTATCTCCTCAGGACATTACCCTTCGAGTCTCCCACGGATGTTTATTAGGGTGATAAATAAGAAAAAAATTTCAGAGATGCACAGTATGTTGTAAAAATATCTCAGACTGTAGGACAGGAAGGAATTAATACCTACCCTCCTCTTCCTCCACATCACTCAGACTTTTATCTTCCTGAAAGCCGGAGCTCGCGAAGCTCTCGCTGCTGGTGACACTGTCTAGTCTTTGTTTCTTGCCTTGCTCCACGTCTGGCTCCATTTTTTCTTTCTTAGGCTCCATGTGTAATGCTGCATCCTTTGAACAGACCAAGAAGGACACAGATGAAGGAGCTCCGGAACCGAAATGGAGAAGATAGTACCTCAAGCTGGCAATTGCCCGAGTTGAGAGAATGTCATTTCCACAAAATAGATAGCAAATTAGCAGCAAGGCACCTGGCTACTCCTGGGGCTGTGGAGTCTATGCTGCTGTTGGTGGGCTTCGAGCCAGCGTCCTGGGTACGATAAAGGAGTAGTAATCTCAGCTGGAACTCACTGAGAGCTTACTCTGTGTGATCCAGAATCTTAAAAAAACTTAGGTATATTTTCTCATTTAATCTTTCCAACAATTCCACGAAGTAGTTATTGCTTATACATAAAGAAATAGGTTTAGAGAAGTCAAGTAATCAAAGTCACATGCAGCTAGTAAATGGCAAAGCTTGAACTCAGGTTTGGCCATTTTCAGTTTGTGCCTTTAAGCACTTTTCCCACCCCATGTGCCAGCTTATGAAAGATGGCATGAATGGCGGAAAAGCATCCCCAGCGGACTGGGGGCTTCACTTTGTAATCCCTACGAGGAGTAATAAGAGAGGGCTGCAGTACCAATTTCTCTGGTCTCCTTAGGAAAGGAGGGAACATGAACATTTTTTTTCTTCCAATGCAAACAAAGATACAGTAAGACCCTAACGGGGTAGAAAAGGCCTTTCATCCTGGACAGGGCATCCAAGCCCTGGTGTGTAGTCTAGCTCTTCCATTAGTGAATGTGATCTTGGGCAAATCACCTTATTTTTCTGGGTTTCATTTTCCTCATCTGAAAGGCTCTATCATCCTATCATGTTCTGACTCATAGAAAAACGAGTTGTTGGTTTGGGTGTTTATGTGGAACCAGAAAAGATTTGTATCACATTTAGTAATTCAACTAACAACTGTGACAATAAAACCTTAGCACTCCCAGGGGCCTCATGACGGGACCAGGGAACTGGTCTCAATTCTGCCGGATGGCAATACTGAAACCAGGCCAAGGGGGCCTGGGGCTCAGTGCTGTCCCTGAGCTGCCAGCACACTGTGGCAGTGCTGGGATTGGCCAGGCTTCCTGCTCTTCCTTGGCTTTTCCTAGAAATGTCACAAAATAGGAGTGATGCCTCCACTAGAGGGCGCAGTGGGAGCAAGCAGAGGGCAGAGGAGAGAGTTTCAAATTCTAAAAGTGTAGAGGGCAGGAGGCTGCTGCCCCTGAAAAGAGACCCTCCTGTGCTGCAGGATGGGAGGCAGGCCTCTGAGTGAACAGCCACTGCCACTCTGGTGACCTACCTGAAAGCTGGTAAAGAATATCTCCCTGAGGCAGTTAGATTTGATTCTGCTCAGTTGGGGACTGGAATTTTATTGATTATAAGACCCTCTCCGGGACAGAAGGCAGCAGGGAAGAGTGCTGGCAGGGGTGTGAGGGAGAAAAGTGCTTGACAGGCCCATTCGGGGCGCAGGGCCACGGCCACGCTCTCTGGGCAGCCTTCTTCCCTACTTTCCCAGAAGTCTCAGCCTGGGGCCTGCCTCCCAAGAACCGTAACTCAAGCTCCCTCATCTGCTTTCTGACTCTCAGTCAATGGTATTTTCAGCTTTGCTTATTGGTAACTATTTCTGTTAAATAAAGGATGATTTACTGAACTTTTGGGACTCTGTCAGAAAGCAGTGAACTTATTTGGAAAATGAAATATCCCATTTCTATTTAGCCGTTTGGGTTTTTCTTCGCCTTCTCTTTATATTGCGTTAGGTTCCAGATATGAAATATAGCCATGTGTTTTCCATGTAATACTAGGCTCCACCAACAGGGAGGTGAATCATTAAATATAGCCAGAGAAGGAAGCAAACTCTTCAAAACAAAGGACGCACAAATCCAAATGTTCCATCCTGCCCTGATCCCTGGGGTATTCTGCTGGCTTAGTTCTTCCTGAAGCCAGTCCAGGATTTCAGGACTGGTTTGCACTGCCCTCAGCTCAGGGCACCACTTTCCACTTCTTACGTTTTCTCCCCCTCCTTATCCAGTGTAGTGCAGAGAGAATCATTGGAAGGGGAGACAAGAGAGCTGGGTTCTTTCTTTCATCTCTTGGTAGGTGTGTGTCCTTAAGTCAATCACTCAACTTTTCTGAGCACATCTGTACTGTGAGGGTGTGTAATAGCTGATCACAAAGATCTCATTCAGCTTACAGGTTCTAATGATGGAAGGACATGGTTTAAAATTGGGGAAAATATGTCCTCGAATATAGGCTGCCCGTCTGGTAGAGCATGTGTGTCTTTGGTTGGATCGAAGTTTAAGAGATGAGAGACTGGGCTAGTTGTCCAGTGGTTTTTATTTGTGTGCCGCATGACCACTCTTGCCCATGTGACAGGATAGGCACCACTCATGGGTTTTGGACACTTAATCTATTATATAGATCATACAGATCAGTGGCATTCAGTTGGACTCACCTACTCTGTTTCAGTGGGTCAATGACGATGATGATAGTTAACATTCATTGAATGTTTATCTGTATGTAATTCTCTGAACAATGAGTTGGGTTCTATTATTACTTTTGTTTAATAAATGAGAAACTTAAATTTAAAGAGACTGAGTAACTTGCTCAAGGTCCAAGATCTCATGAGTGATAGAAACAGGATTTAAACACAGGCAGTCTGGATGCAGAGTCCGAGTGCTTAACCCACCACACTACATGGATTCCTCACCAACATTGCTAATTACCAATTAATAATATTGAATCATTGTCTGCTGAGCTTCTCCAGACCAGAGAAGGACACTGCGTTGGTGGGATGGGTCACACTGGCAAAGTTTTATTCAAGTCTTTTTTCCTACATTCAATAACCTCTTTTAATCTTGATTTGATTTGCCTTTAGAACTTGGACCCATGTGTTTCTTTTATTACATAGCCTTATTTTAGTGGATAAGTAGGGGTGACAGGTGGTGAGGGTGTGAAGAAGTGGGAGTAAGGAGAGTGGGAAGGAAAGAAAATGATTTCTCGGACTCCATCATTGGTCTATTGTTTACTGTAAAGTCACTCAATTGATTTCTCTAATCTAATTTCTCTAATAAACAGAGATAATTACACTTGCTATCTTTATCAAACAAGTGACTAAGTGATTTGTGTGTGTCTGTGCTTATCTGGGGAGAGAGAGGGAGAGGGAGAAAGACAGAGAGATAAAGTTATCAAGATGATTTGATAGGTGTTTAGATAGACGGCTAGCAAACTTAATCCTTATTTATTGCTCCATACACTAGGACCAAATATTCTCTGTGCTGTCCGCAAAAAGAGGGTAAGGAAATTTTTAAAAAGGAGGGAAACCCAGATGTTAGTCTAATGGAAATATATAGGTTTCTCTTGCTTTATGGGGCAACAGCCTAAATGGAAAGTCATTGCTATCTTTAAGAATGTCCAACCCCTAAATTCCTTACCTTGTTGAGAAAGAATAAGTCTCGTTTGCTCTTGAGATAGTTGGACAGATTTCCATATTTGCAATATTCAACGATCACCATCAGAGGCCCTGCAGCCAAAACAACACATGCTCAGCCACACCAAGCAGGTCAGCCAGCTGCCAGCCTGAGAAGCCCCGAACCAGCTTGTCTTTATATTAGTGGGGTCTAGGGATGCAATTTTGGGTGAGAAAGTTTTTTCAATTAAAAAATTCAAAAGGAATAGGAGACAATTGGGAGTTGGGAGTGGGGAGAAGTAGAACAAAAAAAAAAAAAAAAAAGAAGAGAAAGAACTTTGAGGAGGGGAGGGGCCAATGCCAGGGCCAGGGCTCTCCCTGTAACTTGCTGCCACCTTCTGTTTGTTAGCCACACCCTAGTGAGTAGAGGGGCCTCAAGATATTGTCACAGTAACCCCAGGATTATCAAGCAGGTCCTTTCTTCCAGTGCAGAAAATAGACCGGTTCTGTCTGGACTGTCTCTTCCCAGCCAGGTGGGGTGTCCGCACAGCCTTTGCCTCCAGGCTTGTCCGAAGGGCTAAAGCAGGGGTCGGCAAACTTTTTTGTAAAGGAGCAGACAGCAAATACTTTAGGCTTTGTAGGCCATACAGCTCAGTGCAGCCCTTGTAGTGTGAAAGCAGCTATAGATGACAATACAACCAAATGGGTGACGGTGCTGCAATAAAAGCTCATGAACATATAAATTTGAATTTCATATAATTCTCACAAAATATTATTCTTTTGAGTTTTTCCCCTCAACTATTTAAAACGGCCAAATTAATCTCACAGGCTGGCCCCATGGTTTGCCGATTCCTGGTTAAACAGAAGCAAGAGGGTTGGGAAGAAAAACACACCCCAGTGCAACTCGGTCTCCAAGTGGTGCCCCGAAGGCTGCGTCCGCCTCCTCTGGCGCCTGCGCTCCCCACTGCGTCCCCCACAGCCCCGGCAGGCCTGAGACCCGCTGCGAAGAGCAGCTTCCGGTTCCGGTTCCGGGTGACAGTTCCGCAGCTGGGAGCGCAGCTGCGCGGGTTCCTTGAGCCCCAGGGCGCAGGCTCCCTAGCCTTCCAGGCGCACAGAGGCCACCTGCTCCGCAGAGGGGTGCTCTGTCTCGGTCAGGGGTGGGCATGTTAGAAGGCCTGACTGCACCTCCTCTGCCCTCCGGGACGGAACGGGAAGCTGCTGCCACAGGTTGTATGTCACCCACCATGAGGAGGAGCCTGCAGTCCTTGCCCGCAGGAGGGGCGTCCGCCCTGAGGCCGCTACACCGAGCTCAGAGGCACAGGTGAAGGGGGTTCTCTGATCAGCCCTGGTCAGTTTTGGAGGTGACTTTGGAGGAGGTGACCAGAGCTGGGCTCAGTGCAGAGGTTGCACATTCCTTTGAAGCTTCACCTGAACGAATGAGTGTTCCTGAAGACCTTTCTATCCTCCCTATGGGAAGGTTAGTGCTTGGCTGTCCTTCCCTTCGGAACCTTTAAATTAACTGCACAGGGAAGGCATTTCTAGGATGGGACCCCCCCACCTCCCCTTTTATAAATGGAAAAACTGTTTCCTCTGGACCTTTAAAAAGGCCATTTTCTAGGAGGTGAGGAGGAACTGGGGTGGGGAGAAGAAGCTGTATGTTGGAGAAGTCTGCTTCTAGCATGTGAGCCAGACATGGAGCAGCCCTATCCCGTCTCATTTACCTCCTTGCTTGGTACAGGCTCCCAGCAGGTTGACTACATTCAGGTGGTGGCCAATGTGGGTCAGGATCTTGAGCTCAGTCATCAGAGCTTTGTACTCGCTGGCTGTGGCCCCCTCTGTGTGAGAAGCAAGGAAGAGTCAAGGCGACAGGACAATGAGGCTCTTTCCGCCGGAAGCGGCGTTCCTGCCCTCCATGTTTGTCAGTGCTCAGCCTGTTGCTTCATTAACTTCCCCACATTCTGCAGAAAGGCCAAGTCTCCAGACTGTTTTCATTACTCCCACCCTCCTGAGCCAACATCCTTTTGATTACAGTAAGGCCCAGAGTGGTGGTGGGGTTAGTCACTGCACATTTCCTCTCTGTGGACCTAGGCCTGCTCAGTAATGTGCTGACTCAGAGCAGGGCACCTTGTGAAAATGCCTTCCAAGGACTTCCCTCCATCAGAACCAGGCACAGCAAGAACCTTCCAGCAGGGATGTGCCCACAGCTTACCTCTTTTTCTCATTTTTCCCTCTTTGAGGTGTTACAAAGAAGGAGCACAAATGGCCACAGTGACCCCCCCCCCCCCTTTATAAAAATCTTTGCAATGTGTTATTTTCTCCCTATAACCTTTTTCTCCCTGGAGTCCACAGGGTTATCTCAAGTTGTGAGGATCCATAAGCATCTGACTTCAATTTCATTCTCAGAAATAAACAACATCAGTCCAAGAATTAACAGAGTCTAAAGCCTAAGTTTATTCTGTCTGTTTTTATTAGTTAATTTCTAGGGCATTTAAATATTTTAAGTTATTTTTAGAAATACAAAGTTGTATAATCTTGCTGTAAAACATTTCAAAAGTATGATGTATATAGAGTAAAAAGTGAAAGCCACTCCAGCCCACTTAACTTTTTAGAAGTAAGCACTGTTAATCTTTTGGAATTTCAGACCTTTCTATGCTTTTATAAAAAATATATATCCAAAGATCTTTTTTTATTTACATAAGTGGGATGACATATATATGGGATATATACATCTCTATATATGGACAGATATAATTTGCTTTTCCTTCTTTTTAATATGTCAGAGACTTTTTCCCTCCTTTTTAATTGGTTTATGGGATTCCTAACATATAGATTGTTTAAAGTTTTTCCCCCCATTAAAAACAATGCTGTAGCTCGGCAAGTGTTGCTCAGTGGTTGAGCGTTGACCTATGAACCAGGAGGTCATGGTTTGATTCCCAGTCAGGGCACATGCCCAAGTTACGGGCTCAATCCCCCGTGGGGGACATGCAGGAGGCACCAATCAATGATTCTCTCTCATCATTGTGTTTCTATCTTTCTCTCCCTCTCCCTTGCTCTCTGAAATCAATAAAAAAGTGTATATTGAAAAACACACAAATAATGCCATAGTAGACAGCCTGTGTGTAATCTTTGTACACATGTGCAAGTATTTCTGTAAGATAGTCTTGGAATGGGTCAGAGGATATGCATGTAACATTGTGGTAGATACCGATACGGTATTTCTTAAGTACAAATCATTTTTTAATAATAGTTGAACTTTGGAAGCCTTCCAGTGAGGTTGGGTTTGGCTCACAGGAGATTCTCAACAAATATTTGTTAAATAAATAAACAACATGATTACTGTTCTCATTGCAGATATGGGCATAAGGCCCCAAAAGGTTAAAGGTTTTGCTCAAGGGCACTTTGTTTTTTTTTTTTTTTTTTTTTTTTTTTTATTGTTAATCACTTTAGTCTTGAAGTGAGTCATTCTTTTTTTTTCTTTATTGATTAAGGCATTACATATATCTCCTTTTCCCCCTATTGAACCCCTCCCCAGCACATGCCCTCACCCCCCTGCTATCTGTGTCCATTGGTTAGGCTTATATGCATGCATACAAGGCTCAAGGGCACTTTGAAAGAGCTTCTGACTCATGGCCTTTATTTGACATTCTGCCTTTTCAATTTCTCCTAGAAACAGATGGCCAACCAATTTAAAAACAATAAAGCTGAATGAAAATGGTTTTTAGAAATTTTGTATAGTGGATGATTTGGTGGCTTAAAAAAGATAAGCATTTATAAAGATATTACACATACTATTTCTGTATTACATAGAGTAGATTCTTTGGGCCTTTAAGAAATATCAGGTCAAAATTTCTCTTTTCCAACTCATCAATCCCTTCATGCACTTATACCCTTTAGCACAGCCGACTTACGTTGTCCAGAGACAGAGTGTGGTAGTGAGCAGGGAAATAGGACCAGCTGAGGGAGCAGATGCTTCCAGATTTAGTTCCAGTGTATCTCAAGGTGGGATACTAGCTTGCCTCAGGATTTTGGAGCAATGAACCATGTTTAGGAGGCAGCCAGCACCTCTTTGGTAGCACTGTGGTGTGGGGGAAAGAGCACTGCCCTCAAATCCTTACTTATACACTGGGGAGCTGTGTGGCCTTGCAGAGGCTATTTCATCTTTCTGGGCCATTATTCTTTATCTGAAAACTGGGATAATCATATATACCTCACAGGGCTATAGAGAGAGGTGACGTCAGAGCAATGATGGTGTAAGAGCGCCTCTTTTCCCCTCCCCCTGATATTTCAACAAGTTAACCACCTATAATTCAATGAAGAAGTCCCTGTCAACACAGATGCATGCCTGAGAGACCTGCACACTGAAACACCTAAAGGTGGGCATTGGGGAGGGGGTTAAAAGGGAAGATGAGAAGGGAGGAAAGCACAGAGTTGGCCAAGGACAAGGCCGTAGATGCAGCCCTGCAGCACAGCTGGGAACTAGCAGCCTGGCCAGGAGAGGGGAGAAAGCTGGTGGTGGAGGTAGCAGGCACTTCCTTCAGCCTAGAGGAACAGAGAGCAGGGCAATCTGTAAGCTGTGAGCTGCAAGCTTCCAGTAGCAAGAGAGGACATTGTCTGAGTTGTGTGGTTGCATGCGAGTGGTGAGAGAGTACAGTGTCTGAATCTTGGGCAGGCAGCGAGTAGGGCTGGAGTCACTCACGTGAGCAGCAAGAGTGAACACTGAGTCAACAGATGCCCACCCTACAGAGCAGTGGGTGCTGGTGTGAGGCTCCCCACTGCTGGGCCTGGTGGTGGTGTTTCAGACAAAGAAAGGAGATCACAGAGCCTTGCTGCTGCTTAGACTCCCCAAATTTGTCCCCCCCCCCACATTGCCCATGGAGTTGGCTTCAGGAGCATATTATCTGTAAACCAAGCGGTGTTTCAGTAGAATTGCTGTTTCCCCCTGTGACTGAACCTCAGGAGGGGTGCTTGGGCCAGACATGTGGAGGTCAGGGGTCACCATTATGGTGAGGGCAAAACAAATCCCACCCACAAGCAGTCTGGGGTACTGCCCTCTGGAAGCTGCAGAGGCTCAAATCTGGTAGAGCACAGAGGTAAACATCTTGCAATTCAGCGTCACCTACTGGAACATAGGAAAAAGACCTCCCCAGAGATAAATGTGAAAACCAAGGAGGGCAGCAAATACCATGAAGAACCACATAACGACGATGACCAGAAAGAAATGAAAGATACCCAAAAAGTAGGCTGGAAAACATGGAATTACGTGATATAAATGATAGAAATTTCAAGATTGCAATTCTGAAATTACTCAATGAGATGCGAGAAAATACTGACACGCAATTCAGTGCACTCAGAAAACAAATCAATGAACAAAATGAACATTTCTCCAAGGAAATTGAAACTTTAAAAATGAATATATCAGCACTCCTGGAAATGAAGCAGGCAATTGAGGAGATTAAGAGTGAGCTGTTGAGCATAGAAAACAGAACCAACCAATTAGAGGAAAGAACTAGTGATATTGAAGATAGGAATCAAGAAATAACACAGAAGGAAGAAGAGAGAGACCTAAGAATAAAGAAAAATGAAAGAGCTCTACGAGACCTCTTATCACAATCATAGCCATTGTGGAGAAGGAAGAGAGGGAGCATGGAATGGAGACTCTGTTAAAACAAATAGTAGATGAGAAGTTCTCAAATCTATGGAAACAACTAGATCCTCAAGTCCAAGAAGCAAACAGAACACCTACTTACATCAATCCAAAGAGGCCCTCTCCAAGTCACTTGGTGATAAAGCTGTCAAAAATTAATGACAAAGACAAAAGAACACCTGCAGACCAGATTCACCAATTGTTACTATTTTAACCCACTCATTTTATCATATGGGATGGATCCATCTGTATCATTGTTTCTGAACCATTTGAGGGTAAGTTACATACATAGATACTATAGTGTTCATTTCCTAAGAATATTCACTTATGCAATCACAGTAGTGTTATCAACTTCAGTAACTTTAACATTGGTTCAATACTTTAATCCATCATTCTGATTCCACTTTATCAGTGGCCCCAATATTTTCCAGTACAGAATCCAGCCCGGGGTCAGGACTGCACAGAGTTATCACGTCTCTTTGAGAGCCTTAGTAAGTAGATCCAGCTTTGCTATTAGTCTCTCCTTGTCACTGGGCACTCAGAATTCACCTGTAAACTGAGATTGTGGCAACTGCCCCACCCATCTCTTGGTGAGTAAAGGCACTTTAACAATCTAAAAATGAATAAATAAAATAAAATAATGACAAAGAAAAATTTCTCAAAGCAGCCAGGGAAAAGAAGGAAGTAACCTACAAAGGAAAACCCACCAGAATTTCATCCAACTTCTCAGCAGAAACTCTACAAGCCAGAAGAGAATTGAACCAAATATTCAAACGTCTAAAAGAGAGAAATTACCAGCCACAAATAATATATCCAGCAAAATTATCTTTTAAATCTGAAGGAATATTAAGGATGTTCCCAGATATACAGAAGCTGAGGGATTTTATCACCAGAAAACCCCCACTGCAGAAAATACTCAAGGGAGTTATTCTACCTGAGATAAAAAACATAAGGTCACAACTCTATGAGTAAGATCACCAAAAAACTTACAGCATAAACAGGATACTTTGTGACAGGAAAAATATGCAAAGGGAAGGGGGAAAGTTCTGAACTGGCAAAGGAAGATGAAGAGCAAATGCACTCAAAATGGAAAAAAACTATGGTATATATGCAACTTCATTTTTTATAAACCTAATGGCAACCACACACAAAAATCCCCCGAACAGGCATATAGCTTAAAAGAAGAGGAAA